TATCCGCGATTTTCAATTACTATCCGCGCCGCAACTTTAGTCTCAATCACCGCGGAGACTTACTAATTTCTTTTTACAAAATAAAAATTTGACTGATTTTCAGCGTTTTTTACATGTTTGGGGAGTGTTTCCAATTGATTATATGATTTTCTAATTTTTCCCGATTGATGAACAATTACCTCCGATGATTTTTTCACTCCGCCGTTAGAATTTTCTCTGGATTTTTAGGCCGTGTACATTTCGAGCTTCCGCCCGTCTTCAGGCCGTTGGCTGGACTAAAACTGCCACTAAAATCGTGATCTGATCTGATCCTAAAATCGTGCATAATCGAATCGATGCTGAACTGCTTACGCTCAGCGCGGCGGAGACAAGGAAAAGAATCGGCCTTCAGACGTAAGCTCTTTAGAAATATAAAGAACTTGAGACCGGCATGAATAATGATAAGCATCAAGATTAATGATCGGAAGTCCAAAAGGGTCGGAGGGGGGGGGTGAGAAAGGGGCCAAAGGAGATAAAAAGAACTTGGTTCATAAGACCACAAAAAAAACCCGGACTCATTAGGGTGGGCGGAGGATGGGAGAAGGGTCCCGGATTAAAACCGCGAGGTGAGCGGCGCAACTGATAGAGGGAATATAAAAAAATAAAAAAACGCTGGGACAGCGGGAAATATCGGACGAATGTAACCACCGGGGTTGCGAAGGGAGTTCTGGTCCCGCGGGAGGGGGCTTGTTCGTGTTCGGCAAACGGAAACCCCGATGGACCGAACGGGGTCTGAATGATGACACTACGTTCGAGGCATTTTGGGATCGAAACCTGTTGGATCCATCGCGTTGTTTCAATATTTTTTCGACGGTTAATTTTTCAGGGCAGGTAGATTATCAGCATTGAGCGCTGGGTTAGGTAAGAGTTTTGCACAGAGTTTAGCTGGAGAGAACCAAGTCACGTCAAGATGGAACCGAAGGAAAGAGGTTTGAGGTTTAGTTCCTTGATGAGGCTCAATATTAGATGTAAATTTCTACCCCTCTTTTTACATTCGAAAGATTTTTCTTGGACTCGAAATTTTTGAAAAGAGAAAAATTGCGGCTATAGGCTCGGATAGACACAGAAAAGAAGTGTTAGGGATTATCTCCGGAAATTGTGATACCCCAATTTCACGGATGACATGGACAATTCCAATTAATTTTGGTACCTAGTGCTGCGACTCAAGTTGGGGCAGTACCGCAACATTTGGGTTGGTAACCTAATTTATTGAGGTGTACTACAATTAATTTGAAATTTCGAAGTTAGGACTTAACTCCTAGCTCTTTTTTTTCGTGAGGGCAATAATATTTATAATTATCATAACAGATTGACATCTTCATGTATAATATATCCAGAGAAATTCGGCGACATTCTAATGTTCTTACAGCGGTTATCTCCAACTCCGCACTGCTATTTTTCCGTCCTCAACGGCCACCAGTAGCGTAGCGTGATTCGATATATATCGATATTTTCCCATTTGAAGCTATGGTAAAGAATGGATTATTAAGGTGTTCGCTGCAAACGCCCTGTTTATCGATCCTTTTCCATGGGTTTAAACGGCATAACAATCGAGATATCGCAATTCACGCCACCAACGGTCGCATACTCCGGGTCATTTTTTCTCAAAATCTCGTAACTTCATTAAAATAAAATTACAAAAATACGGAGTTTGCTTTTATAGAGCTTACTTTAAACAGCGCTTTTTTATTCTTTTTCTTCTTAGAAGCGATGACCGAGATGATGTGAGGGGCAGATGAAACGGCATTTTTCCCTTCCTTCTGAGTGCGACCTTTGAGCATCCGCGTCTGGCATCCATGCATCCCATCGACTCGTAATTCTCATCCGCACCGGGGTAGGATTTAGCATTTGACATGATTCATTATGCGGCTAATTTATGATTTTTCCCCTTCTCTTTTGGCCCTCTTCTAGAGTTATCGATCTCTCACCAGAGCCGTTCCCACGCATGACCCGAGTTTCTTTCCCGACGATTTGTTCCTCTAAGAACTCACTCATGCATACATCATTCATTCTCCGTAAAACCGAACAGATTTCTAAAATGATTTAAGAATACTCATGGCTAAATGCAAAAAATGCGTATCTCAATTGACCTGAGTTCATCAGAAAGTAGCCAACCCACATTTTCGAAAAAAATTGGGTTCAGAATATTTTTGAGTTCCACTCGTTGTATACATTCCCCTGCGAAAAACTCAAAGTCGAGAAAAAAAATTAGTCTGTGTTTAGAGGGGTTAAAGTTTATTTTCTAGGCCTTATGGAGAAACAAAACTTCAAACCTCTTACCTCAGTTTCATTTTTAGGTAGGTTGGTTCGTTTCAGTTAAACTCAGTCCATTGCACTCCATTTTGTAAATAGGAACTACCTACGGAGTCCATGCGGACAAGGAAAATCAAAGTGCCTTCAATTTTTTTGTATGCAATACGCACATCCATAGAGCACGAATAGTTGTATCATGTATCAAGACGTTTTACCGAAGCAACGCCCATCAGAGGTACTTACAAGTCGTGAGACAGATCGCTCTTCTTGAAACTAGTTTTTTGGTAAGCGTGGAAGCCTAGCTAACGGAGTTTTTAAGGAACTTAAGTACAAAGCTCAATCCCACTCTATTCATGTGAAATATAACCCACGATATACTGTATCATCTAATCAATGCGGGCTTAAAAGAGCGAACTCTAGCCTGTGACTTGTGGCTTTTTTCACGATTGCTTCATTTCATTTAAGGAGGTATAAACCACGTCTTTTTCGTAAATTTTAAGTAAAAGGCTTTGTACATAATGAAAAATTCTTATTACATCATCAATTTTAATACTTGAAACATTAGGTCAGAAACGTCGTTCTCTCATTTAGATTAATCAGTGCTGAAAGCAAATTAAACTAGTCTCCACTAAAAAAAAATGCCCAGAAAAATGCGAATACCGTAAAGTCTAGAGTATAAAGGCCTATAAAACCAAAATGCACGTATCCAAAGTGAGACCAGGCTGAAAAACCTAAGAGATATTTTTAAAGGGGGAAAATATACGACTGACTAAAAGGAGGTTTAGTGAACCCACCCCGGAGAGGAGAATTAGAGGATTGCATTGAGCCTCCTACGATCCTATGAATTATTAACTTGGATGCAATGTTCCGGCGGCCGCGGCCCCCCTCCCACCTGCATCAGAAATTCGAAGCGAAGCTTCTACTTGTTTGGTTAAGTGGGTATTTAAAATGTATGAGAAGTCTCAGAATTGAGCATTTAAAAATATACATCTATATTTCCCTCCGCAAAAATAGTTGCATTGTACCCTTTTCCTCCTGTTATGCGTTTTTCGTTGAATGGTGCGACGGAACAATACCTCCTAAATGATCAAAATGCATGATGTCATCTTCCAAGTGGATAAAATTGCGTGACCTCCAAAATGAAAGTAAACTTGGGCTCTCACTCGTTAGGAGGGAATAGAGTACCTATATTGAGAGAGTATGGCCACTGGGGTTACCGCACCTCTGATTGGCTCAGCCATCTTAGGCTAAATGGAGCCCTTAGGACCCAAAAATGCCGGACGCCATAAATTAATGTAATGCAAAATGACTCAAAATGTAGTTTTCTTTGCTTATCGTAACGAGAAATTTACTCCAATGCACTATTGCGACATCTTTACATAATTTTAAGGCTAATCGTGTGCAATTTTTGAGAAAAATGATCTTAGATGTAGTAAGGTTGGCAGCAAGTGCGGTTGGTGATAACCGTCAAAAGTTGGCAATGACCCCCCTCCCATCCACAAAAATCAAAACAAAGCACCGCCATTTTTGGGTCCTAAGCCTCTCCATGGGGCCCAGTGGCCATACTCTCTCAATATAGGTACTCTAGGAGGGGATACTTGTTTATGCCTTCATAGATTTTTAATATAGCCATGGCAAAACTCCCAAACCACGGATCTAGTATCTCGGTTTGCTACCTTCCTGACTTCCTGTCATACTTCATGTTTTAAATAGAGAGCTACTCAACATCAATGCTTAAAACCTTCCGAGATTTTTCTTGCCTAAGTGAAGCAAATTCTGAGAAAACTTCAAGGAGTAATGCTGATTTGTCATCTTTTTTTCGCTTTTTTTTTGACCGCAAATGAGAAACGTGGTTTGGGAGTTTCACCGTCAATATGCTGGTAGCTATACCGGCTTGAAAGAAATCATAATGAGACAAAAGAAAACATTTAAAAAACCCGTAAAATTATAGTTTTCAAAATTTAAAAATACATTACATAATAATAGATGTTATACTTGATTGAGGCAAATGCTATGATGCGTTTATGGAAAGGGGCGCATTCGGCACAGGGTGACAAAATTTCATAAAAAATAAAATCTTGAAATTTCAAGTGAAATACTTCATGAAATTTCAGAAATTTTTGAGAGGTATCGAAAAATACCGGCTCCTTTTCATGCTTCGTAAATGTAAAAATTGTAACTTTCTTATATTTTTGTGTGTTTGAGTGCGGGTTGCACACTCTAGCCCCTGAAAAATATGAAATCTCCACAGCCTCGCGAAATCTCGTGGAAGATTTCACTGAAATTTCCAATCTTTTAATTCTTTCTTACGTTTCATGCCACCCTGATCTTGGCATATGGACGAACAGACCTGCGCTTGTCTGATCCTGATCTATCTGTGGATTTATGGCAGGGTGGCATGAAACGTAAGAAATAAATGAAAGATTGGAAATTTCAGTGAAATCTTCCATGAGATTTCACGAGGCTGTGAAAGATTCATATTTTTCAGGGGCTAGAGTATACAACCCGCACTTAAACACACAAAAATGGAAGAAATTTACAATTTCTACATTTTACTAAACATGGAAAGGAATCGGCATTTTTCATTATCTTTCATAAATTTCTGGATTTTCATGTAATATTTCACGTGAAACTTCGAGATTTTATTTTTCATGAAATTTTGCCACCCTGATCCATGGATCCATCCATGTGTGTGAGAGGGCACGTACCTTGGAAAAAACTAGGTGATGGAAATCAGGGACGACAAAATCGCTCGTGGTCCCTCCTCGGGATCGATAGCAATCGTTCTCGGCTTAGATTACTCAGCGACGGAGAGTTTGGGGGAGGCCCTCTATCCTCGGGTCTTACAGTCATCTGGTTTCCTCTTGCCTCGATTCACCCGGCAGTTTCAGGAAGGGAATCATCTTGTTCCCCCACTGATTAAACCACTCCAGAAATTGTCCTATGAACTGAAAAACAAAAGAGATACTCGCTTAAAAATGTGTCCGTCAAACGGAGACCTGTGCATTCACATTACTGCCGTGCAACGCAAAAACGCTGTAAACGCCATTTTACATTTTTTGGAAACAATGTATCAAAGCAGAAAAATTTGTGCACCTTGGGACAATGTTATTACAGAATTCTTTTGCAAATACTATCGAGAACCTAACCTGAAAATTTAAGGTGCATAGGTAAAACAGTATTTATTTTATAAAGTGTTAAGTTCCAAAAAACGAGGGAAAATTTTGATGGATTTACGGCGTTCTTGCTTAGCACGGCATCTCCATGGCTAAAGTGTGAAACAATGTATCTCCATTGCGGTGCTTCATTTCCGCTCCTATTTTATTTTTCAAGGAGGGACAAGCCATCTGTATAGCCTGAGTTTTAAAACGGATATTCTGTTTACAGGGAAGAAAAATCAAGGACATTTTCAACAAAAATACATTGACTTGTTACCCTCAGAAATATATTAAAATGTGACAGGAAGTTTGCAACGTCGCAAACGGAGATACGTGAATTCGTGATATCTCAATGTTTATGATATTATCTCTTCGCACACTAACACAGGAGAGGATTTAGATCGGAATGAAGATTGTAGAATGTAGAATGCCATGCCTGGGAAGAACGCCGTATGAGCCATCAGGCGTTGTCAAATTTTGTTTATCGAATCTTGAATTTTCAGGAAAATGTGTGCATATTTCTTTCCCGATTGATTTTTCAGGGATTTCGTTCGCAATTAAATCTACGACGTCCGGATGTGTTAAGGAAAAATATCCATAACTTTCTTCAAAAATAAATATTTTCTGGCAACATTCGAATGCTCATACGGCGTTTTTTACTTAGCACGACAGTGCAGTGCAGTTTGATACTCGGCGTTTCATTTGTACGTAATTTTGCCAAACAGAACATTGTGCATAATGACGTGAACCCTGTTATGCACGTATTCTTATGGGCCTCGGGGCCCATGGCTTAATGCACATAGTTCTGTTTGGCAGAAATACGTCCATTTGATCCTCAGAAGTTATTTCCATACCTCAGCAGTGGCGTAACTACGAAACCTGCCGCCACCGCCGGGCGGGGGGGGGGGGGCGCAGCGATGTGAGGGGCGCAAAATTTTGGGAAAAGAAAACGGGAAAAAGAAGGAGAAAAAGAAATAGAAAGAAAAGGATGAAGGAAGAGAGGAAGAGGGAGAGGCAGAAAAGATGAAGAAAGAGGAAAGCAATAAGGAGAACAAGTACTTAACATAAAAAATTGTTGATCATGCAAACATTTCACGTAAGTTTCACATATTTTCATACTTTTTTTGGACTTGAATTTCCACTTCACTTTTCTTTCTATTTTCATAGCGATATCTTGATTTCCTCCAATTTATTCATATCTGAATGACCAGACGGGCAGGGGGAGAGGGGGGTGCACCGCTCAAAAACGCTGATATAAAGGGGCGCAGCCTCAGGTTGGCGGGGGCGCGCGAAGATTTCTAGTTACGCCACCGTGCCCCTGGAGCCGCATATTCGAAGTCCCCGGAAAATTGTGTCTCTCGACTCAATTCTGTTCGCGGAGGGCGGGGGTGATCTGGATGGGCATTCATAAAATTGGGGAGGGCCGATTTATAGGGTTCAATTTTGAGCCGGGATCTGGAGAACGCACGGGGAACGGCGGCGGGTCGATGCACGTAGCAGCTGTTACCTCGGCATTCGCTAATAACTAAAGCTCCTGCAGGTCGATTGTTGAATCGTTATCGAATGATCTCGATCGATAAATCCCTATCTTCACAATGCAATAAATCGATCAAGGTCATTCGATAACGATTCAACACTCGACCCGCTGGTAACGTGAGCGTCGTTCCGCGGCTACCGATAAGATATCTCAAGTACGTGCCCGCCCGGACATCCCGGAATTCCTATCTCGCGCGATTACCTCGGCAGCCAATCGAATGCGAGGAAAATTACGCCACGGCGGCTCGAGTTTCCACGAAGGATCACGAGTTACGGAGAAAGGTATGAATGAAGCCCCCGCGAGAGAGGAGGATTTGCGATTCCACTAACACTGCCATGCTAAGGAAAAACGCCGTATGAACCTTCAGGCGTTGCCAAATTTCCTGGTAAACTTATGAAAATTTTCCTCCCAATTTTTCGGGTAATTTTGTTCGCAATTTTACCTTAAGATTCTGAAAATTTAAAGGAAAAATGTTCATAACGTTCCTCAAAAATAAACATTTTATCGAAGGAAATTTGGCAACTCTCAAATGTTCATACGGCGTTCTTCCTTAGCACGGCAGAACACACATGCGTAAAGTCAAGGACGACTGCCTTGCTAAGGCAAAACGTCGTATGAACCTCCAGGCGTTGCCAAATCTCCTCTGGCAGATCACTAATTTTCAGATTTGTTTTTAATATTTTTCTGCCAATTTCTCAGAAAATTTTGCTCGTGATTCGATTTAAAACGTCTGAAAATTTCAAGGAAAAATATTCACAATTTTTCTCAGAAATGAACATTTTATCGTGGGAAATTTGGCAACTCTCAAATGTTCATACGGCGTTCTTCCTTAGCACGGCGGAGGAGTTCTCTGGAACGCACCCGGGCGATTTCACGATAGCCGTTATCGGGAAATCCGTTTTCCCGTTATCGGATAACAGGAAAAGGGCTCTATGCAAGGTACAAATGGACTGCGTTAAACAGAAAGGAACCAAGCTACTAATTTCAGAAACAACATACGCACTATGAGTTACCTTATGTGGATGGGTGATTTTACGGGTGAGCAAATAATAATTATTCCTTCATGAAAAATGAAGTCCAATTGGGCTGCGTTAAACAGAAAGGGACCAAGCTACATCAGCTATTGCCTAATCTGATTGGGCAATTTAATGCTTTACATGAAAACGGTTGTGCGGATTTTTGTGCGAATTTCAGTTGATTTTCTCCATTATACGAGGCAAATTCCATACAAATTTCAATGGAATCCACACAAACGTTATCTCGTAAAAAATTAAATTACCCGGTTAAATTTGGCAGTAGCTGGTAAGAGCTTGGTTTTTTTCTGTTAAATGTGGTCCAAATGGACCGAGTTCATCAGAAAAGAACCAACCCATATTCTCGGAAAAAATGAGATGAGAGTTACTTTCCGCGTTGAGTCTTATGGAGGAACCTCTTCAGACCTCTTTTTCTCAGTTTCAACTTGATGTGGGTTGGTTCCTTTTTGATAAACTCGGTCCAAATTGAAGCACCATAAGCAATAACATATTTGTAATTTCTCTGGAAAATTTCACGATGTAAAACAAATTACACAACGGAAAACCTAGAAATCTACTCCTGAAGAAGATAGCGACGGCCAAAATGCGAGACCATATCTATTAGCGATGTTGCAGACTTCCCGCCATACTTGAACCGCGTTTAGCGGAAGGAAACCAAACCACATCAGCTATGGCCAAATTTAACTGGGCAATTAAATTTTTAAAAGGGAACATTTATGCAAATTCCTTGGCGATTTTTAAGGAATTCGCTTGGCACTATGCAAAAAATTCACTGTAACTTGCACAAAAACCCGCACAGCCGTTTTCATGTTAAAAATTAAATTACCCAATTAAATTTGGCAAAAGCTGAAGTGGCTTGGTATTCCTTTCTGCTCAATGCGGTCCAATTTCCCTTTAAATTTCTCGATTTAAAGGGAGTGCACAATAAAAAGTCGGACAATTAACTCCTAAACAAAGATATCGATGGCCGAAAAGTAAAACCACGTTTCTCAGTTTGCCACGCTGCAAACTTCCTGTCACATTTTAATGTTTCTGAGGAAAACTAGTCAACGTAATTTCTGGAATATCTCCTTGATTTTTCTTCATGTTGCTCGCGTCGCCTTTGATTGAGGCGCCACCACAAATAAGACAAACGAAAACACACACTATGGAAATAGAGCAAAAGAAAGGACGTGCGTTGATGACGGCGCAGAGATACAACTATTCGTACTTGATGGATGTCCGTGTTGCGTCCGCAAAATTGAAGGCGCCTTGGCACGAGCGGTGAGCTCGCTATGCTCCATTCTCAAGATTTGGAGAATGGCGAGGCCTGAATATCGACGGTGAAACTACCAAACCACGTATCTCGGTTTGCGACGTCGCAGACTTCCTGTCATACTTTATTTTTTAAATGAAAAACTATTTAACGTCCAGTCTTGAAAATTTCTGTGATTTTTCCTCTTCGCGCGGAGAAAATTCTGTGAAAATTTCAAGGAATGATATTGATTCGGTCTACTTCCAAAAAATACAATGTGAGCGTAGATTTTTAAACACCGCAAACGAGATACGTGGTTTGGTAGTTTCACCGTCGATATAGCTCTCCTATCTGCGGCTGTCTTGACACTCGATTTTCTTTCTTTGTTTTATTCCATCTCTGGTTTTTTTTACGATGTACTTGTGAAATTATATCTGAAGCTCGTCCGTGCCGGGGCACCGGGGCCCCATAAAAATTGCGCCGCGCGGGGCATTTGTTTTTAGCAAGTCTTGGGCCAATTTGACCTTGCTTGATCGTCTACGCGTTAAAGAAGCAAAATCGTAACAAAAAGGTACATACATCTGCGGCCTAAGTGCGCGAAACCACGTATCTCTGTTTGCGACGTAGAAGACTTCCTGTCATACCTTATCTTTTCTTTGGGCAACCAGTCAACGTAATTTCTTAAAAACGTTCTTGATTTTTTCTCTGTCAGCAGAACATTCTGTATAAATTCCAAGATATACAGTTAGCTTGTTTCCCTCCAAAAAGTATAGAATAGGAGCAGAAATTTTGAAGCACCACAATGGACATATGTGGTTTTGCTCTTCGGTCATCCATATGTTTGCGGTCCTCCATGAATTTTACAACTTTTAGAGCTGTATGAAAAGGCATGAAAAATAATAAAATTGTACTGAAAAAAAAGTTGGAAGCAATTGTGGAATACATGCAGTTTTATCTGTTTCTATGACGGGATTTACACATATGCATCACACGTTTAAAAAAATAAAAATAAATCTTACAGATTCCTCACCCATGGCGTTTTCCACTTTTACACAAGTTTGCGCAAGTTATGTCCGTAAAAAACTTCGTTATTGCGTGGAAAAACGAACACTCAAACAAGTCCGTCAAAAGGGGTTTTTCACGCTATTTGCTTCGAGCTATGATATACCAACCCCAAATACAAGGATAACAAAAAGGAACTACGGACATCGAAATTCGACACATAATTCGCAACTTTGTCCGAATAGTAAAAAAGTCTGATTTGCATGCAGAGGAATGTTAGCATGGAATCGTTTTTATCCAGAAAATTGATAAAGACAACAATAACTACTCGTACTTGCAGGCTTTTTCCAAGGAACGAGTCTAAGTACGGGTGTATACGCATGAGTGAGTACGAGTTTAAATAAATATATGTAATATTGCAAATCACGAATTCTTTATGTAAATGTTGAATGGTCCTCTCTTGTTAAACGTTCCCCGCATTTCAGGACATGGGTCGTTTCAGTTACGACTTACGGGTAACAAACGCTCTGCAATCTATATTCCCGCAACAGTTAAGCGCAACGGCGTTTATTGACAGGTCTGTCAATAAACTGCCAGAATTCGATTTACAACGCATAACGCAATACGGTATAAACACGCAGAGTGGCGCAATAAGCTGTTAATGAGGGGGAAAAGTTTAAAAATAAAATAATTTGAATTGCAAACTTTTCAGCCGATCCCCTAAAAATATACATAAAGCGGCTCAAAATATACCACCTCAGCTTTTCGAGCAAGTTATTCATGAGATCGAAATGCAGCGAGGTCATTACTTCAACACCAAAAGATTGGACGCCGGGAAATTTTGGGTTTGGGTTAACAAAATATATACTAAATTTGGAGGAAATCATTTATGATCCTCATCGCACTTAACATAAGAATATATGCTACGATGACTACTAAACTTAGATAGCTCGAAATATACCCTCAAAACCATCCCATATGCATACCTGGCACATTGTAAAAAAACTGACAGGTTCTGTGAATGAAGAGTTTGGAGTGATATATTTGAGATTCTCGAAAACTGCGTCTGAGGTTTAAAAAAAAAATCATTGCTTTATATTTAAAAAAAAGTCCGAAAACAAATAAGGAGTTTCCTCTTAGAGTGTTCTCGAATTAGCTATTTCTTATTCTTGACGAGGAACTCTAGAGTAGGATCAAATTAAATTCTTCATATTCCAAAGACGCAAACTAATATCTCATTTTTACAGGAGAATTTTGACAGGGCACTTTTTCTTTGATCTTCATGAAGCGACAAGATATCAAATTAGATGCGTACCTTTGTCTAGTTCACCGTCAATAAAGAGCTCTTTTATTGAGTTATTACATACTTCTTGAATTTTGAGAATCAAAAAATTCATGAAAAAAGATTTCCCTCTTTGACCATTTACTAATTATTTCAAAAGCCAGCGCAGAGACCCATTAGAAAAACGGATGTCTATTATACATCTCTTTTGCGATGTAAAAGCCTCACTCAGAGAAAAAAATGGACAATTTTTATACAATTATATGAGTATGATCATCGACGACGATTCTATGATATCATACTCCACTGGTGCCTATATAATCTCCTGGTGACATTTACCATGCTTATAGTGAATGATACTACGAGTCTGGTTATCCGTACCCAATAGTATAATTATGTCTTGTAACTCTTATGTCATAAATCTCTTATGTCAGACTCATGGTAGAATTTTCCATACTTTTTTCTCAAAGCTAAAAAAATACCAAGTCAAAATACTGTCCGTTTTCAATTGGCGTTTCAAAAACACTTTAAAAAAAGAGAGATTTTCAAGAAAAAAAAGAAGAGAAAAAATCTTTAACAGCCGTGTGAAAAGAAAAGAAAAGTGATTTGACGAGAGCAGCGAGAAGATCACTGTCAAAGTGGCAATGCCCTAATTTTTCCTTCCTCAGACGAAAGGAAGTAACGCCATTCTTAGTAGGAAAACAGACTAAAGCAACTTATTTTTACAAAAATGCATCGCGAGTAAGTTCTGTCCAAAATTTTGATTTGTGTAAGTTTCGTGAATTGAAAATGTAATTTTTATTTGACTGCATGCAATCAAGAGGTAAACCAGTGGAAATTTCAAATAGAAACGCCCGAAACTTTCCAAATAAAAATTGCGCGAGTGAAAATTCGTAACGTCTGAGTGCAGTTACATTTTTTCGTCAGATAAACGACAAACTTTACTCTAATTCAATTTCTATCCAGATAATCATCGTATCATTTAACGCTACCGTGTAACATCAATGCAATTCGTTTAGTTTCAGTTTTAAACCATGTAGATAGATACAAGGAAATACTTGTAGTAGTTCCGTTATAAACCCCAAAAAACCCAAAAAACTTGGGTAAAGAGACTCCGGGCAAGTCACCATCCTCTTGCCAAAAACCTCCAAAAACTCTTCTTTGTTCCCCTCTTCAGTGGAAAAAGAAAATATCACACGACGACAACTTCCATTTTAGTCGTATAGAGTACCCTAAGCGGACCAAAGAACGGAACTCTTAGTCGTTAACACATTTATTTAACAAAATATAGATACAAGGAAATACTTGTAGTAGTTACGTTATATTTAAATAAAATTCCTTCAAAAAAAAAAAAAATTCTATCCGGTACAAACCTCGCATCCTGCGCACGTTGACGACGAAATCCAAAATCCTTTTCGGCCACGTGTAGGGGGGGAGGGGGGTTAAGGGAGGGTCGCGGATGACGTCAGGCGAGTTAGGGGGGGAGAAGAGCGGAAATTTCGGTAGCGCACGGATCGGATCCGACCATATGTTAGGCGACTGGCCGACGTACGGGAACGCGGGGTGAGAGGAGAGGGGTGGCGCGGCCTGAGCGGTGCAGGGCTCGAAGAACACTGGCGTTGGAACGCGAAAGTGAAATCGGCGGCGGGTCGCGGGTCGTGGGTCGCGTTCCGTGCCCCTTGTTGCGCTTGTTGCCGCAGCAACACGGCGCACAACACGCGCCCTCGGCCTAAACGCTCCGCGGCGGGGGCGGCGGGGGGTCGCGGATCGGACGTCAACGATCCCGGCTCCGGTCCCAGCATCCGATCCAAGGAGCAACTCTCCAAAAACGCCTAAGTAGCTCCATTGCAGTGTTTCAAAATCTCCGCCCCCATTTCATTATATTAACATTGAAAAACAAGTTACGGGCTGTGTAGACATACCGTCCGTTCCGGGTGCTGGAGCCGTAGCTCCGACTGCTGCCGGTTTTATACCCGGAACATCTGGCCAGTGAGCCTGGAACACGGATGGGAGTCTATACTGCCGTGCTAAGGAGGAACGCCGTAAGAACTTTGTAGGAAAATTAGCGAAATTATTAGTTAGAACTGCACAACCAGTGTTCGAAACTCACCTTTGAGTTTTAGGAGCCATGTGGCGCATCAAGCCCGATTTTTAGGCGCCATTGAAGATTTTTTAGGGGCCAAATTGACTTTTAGCCTATATATTACGGCGCATTTAGTAAAAAGTTATACGCAAAATGTTTTCGTAACAGAAATAGTAAGTAGCTGTAACTTGGGGAAGACAAAAGCACAAATGATGAAATCGTGAAGAATAGAAAAAGATTTCTCTTGTGGTGCTGAAAATGTCGAATGATCACTTAATATGATTTCTAGGGGGCAATTTTTAGGGGCTACGTTGGCGCAGAGCCTTCATTTTTTAGGCACCATGGCCGATTTTTTAGGCGCATTTGGCTCGTTGGCGCCTGTGAGTTTCGAACTCTGTGCGCAACTGTATTTCAATAATACGAATGAGCGTTTTTCAATTTGCGAGTTGAAATTCTGCAATAAATGTAAATGCAATTTCTCTCTTCGGAAACATCAAAATCGAAGATCTCCGACTCGTGGAGAAACTCCATTAGCGAACAAAATCTCATCAAAGTAAGTGGTGGTTATGTGGAAGTCATCAGAGCGGAAACATGTAAAGTTCGGGATGTATAGAAATAAGAGTTCGCATTCAGTCGTTCCTCAGACAGCTCTCTCTTTTGGCGGGCCTACATCGATGGCTAGAGCAATAAATTGCGCACCACGAATTGAGATGTTGCGGATTAAGCTGCGGTCTTGCATTTAAAATTTTAGAGGGAAAATAAACAATGGTTTATCTGAACATTTTCCTCTTTGATTCAGAAATATGCATGGAAAATGTCAAGGAGATATTTCGGATGGTTTTGGAAAATCGATTGAAACGAAGCTCAATTTTGCACAGTAACTATTGAGCTTATGCTTCGTGAGCGCAAGGAGCGAAAATTAATGTGTTGTCTCGAAGGGAAGTCAAAATGTTTGAAACGGCCCAACATAACTGAACCGACCAGAGCGAAAACGTTCCATGTCCAGAGCGGGGCAGCTCGTGATTTGCGTGGGCGATGTCATCGTAACTGCGGCCAAAAGTTGGTTTAAAAGATGATAGCAGGGCCAGATTAAAAGGGTGGCCAAATGGGCCACGGCCAATAGCGGCAAATTTAGGGGGCGGCAAATTTTGCAATTTTTTTAAATATAGGTATAAAAAATCGGATTCAGGAAAAAATTACCTAAAAGAAAAACATCTTTCGGTGACACAAAAGACGGCACCTTTAATTAGTCGAGTTAAGAGAGAAACCAAACACGCAATTTGGCATGGAGCGACGCGGCGCAGAGAGCCATGATGATGAGGACTTGAGATGAAAAGGAGAAGCCCTCAGCGCGGCGGTTGGCATGTAACACATATTAGCACCTGCAAGACTTCATGAATACTTCACGCATTGCGTCAAGCACAGTATGCGTTCAGCGGCGGTCTGCGTGAAATGCGTAGCGCCTACAAGACTGCAGGAATACTTCACGCATTGCGCCAAACACAATGCGGTCTGTGCGGCGCGGCGGCGGAGGTTAAAATTATTAAACCACATTTATGTTTGTTCTTGCATAATTTTTACGTTCATTTCTTATAAATGGAAGGCCTCGTTCACACAGAGATAGGTTTACGGAACTTAACTTTCGCGCAAAGTTCCGTGAACTTTCGCTAGTAGTGTTGACAAGGCTTTCGCAAAAAATGTGTGCAACACGAGTAAACGCGTCTTATGCACCCCTCCCCTCCCCCTCCGGCACGTTCACTTGATGGTTTTTATTGATGTTTCAAAACGAATGAGAAGGGGGCGGCAAAATACATTCGGCCCATGGGCGGCATGTAGGTAAATTGAAAAGTTAACAAAGGAGATCGGCCTTGTTAACAGGGTTGCGAGTTCAATGGAATTTCAAAATTCCCTGACTTTTCGGAAAAATTTCCTGACCATTGGCGCTAGGGTTCCCTGACTGCTCACGAAAAAAGAAAAAAATGTATGAACAGCTATGCAAACTTTGAAGCACCGCAATTATTGCATGTGCGAGGTTGAAACTTGCAAATAACCCGACGAAGACAATTTACTTGTTGCCTGGAAATATTGCAAATTATTCCACGTCTAAATAAAAAAATCAGAAGCAAAAAGGTAGAAACAACTGATCGCAGGCAGCGCACAAATTGCGAATTCAGCACTCACTTTGAGGCAGAAAATCCCCCAAAAACTTGGCAACGCTTAGACGCGGTGCCGGTACGAAAAAGAAGATTTAGCTGTTGAGCCGCAGCCCTGAAAATTCCCCTGACTTTCCAGGTTGTTTCATAATTCCCTGACTCTTCCAGGATTTCCCTGATCCTTGCAATGGCGTTTTTCCTTGGAAAGGCAGCATAGTTTCCATCCCTAAACTACAAATTCTTCACATCGCTACGTTAGGATAACGGTGCTACATGCAGCGTGCCAATCGTAGCGGCGCGCAGCGCCCAATCACTTGGAAACGAGATCGCTACTAGTTCGCCTTCAAATTTAGCGATGCAACCCAACACCACACCGAAGTTAATTAAGTCGCATCCACCGATTGGCTGCGCTCTGATGTTCTACCTATCCTGAGAACCTATTCCTTATTACATTCGAGGAATTATCAATTAGTTGACTGACACACATTGCCATGCTAAGGAGAAACGTCGTATGAACATTCGAATGTTGCCAGATGTCTCTCGAAAAATTACGTATTTTCAAGAAAAGTTATATACACTCTCCTATCAGAGTTTCGGATGATTAATATAGATCCGATTGCGAAAAAAACGTATAGACTAATATTTAGATCGACATTATATCAATATTAGAATCGATTATTTGACGTGCATTAAATGAAGAAAAAACAGTGTTGCCAACTTGCAACTGAGTAGAGCGTCTGTGCTCAAATGAGGGCTGCCTGATCATCATCTGCACGGCGGGTATGATTTTTCAGATGAAAAAAACCGATAGCAAGGCGTTAGGTATTCTTTTAGGAGCTATTTGCAGAGGCAACCTGATGAATAAAAGATATCTTCATATACATTTCTCATCTCTGAATACGAAATTAGAGGGAGAAATTTACACTTCGTCGTCACGGGGTGAAGGAGGAGAAATGGAAGGGCGAAGGGGAGGGGGCATAACACCCGTGGCTGGAGGGCACGCATACGATTCGCCGCGATGCCGCACAGTGGATCGAGTCAATACGAGACGTCGGACAAAATTCGGAAACTTTAAAAACTTATAACTCCGTTCATACAAAACTTAGAGGATCTAAAAGTGAATCCGATGGTTTTCTCGTGAAATATTCTGTTTAGAGCACCCCTTAAAATTGAAAATGTGACGAAATAATCATCAAATTGTGTAGTTTTAGGCAAAAATTTCATGTGTGACTTCTCTAATTGACACGATCCACTGAGCGACGCGAGACGAGAATCACGCCTTACGTTAAGGAGTAGCGCTGTATGCGCAATCGTGTGTTGTCAAATTTCTTCCTCAGAAATATTAATTTTTGAGACAATTGTTATGCGCATTTTTCCTTGAAAATATCTGATTCGTAGATAAAATTGAGAACGAAACTTATTGAAAAATAGGAAGAATAATCTTGACAGGTTTCAAAGAAAATTTGTGTTTCATATAACGAAATTTCGCAACGTCCGATGGCTCATTGGACGTTCTTTTTTAGTGTAGCAGCACAGTATTACGGCACACAGCGGAGCGAGTCAATATAGGAGAGGTCGGACAAAATTTGGAAACTTTAAGCGCGTATACTCCGTTTATACGAACATTTTGGTCAAACCTTATATGCCCGACCTCTCAAATTGACTCGATCCACTGCACTGCTTTTCTCAATGTCATGGCTCATACGAATTGCAAGCTATTAATCGTCGCCGTTTTGACTTTCAAGTAAACCTAAATTTAAGTTTCGTAAACCTATCGGACAAGGCCTTCCATTTATGAGAAATGAACGAAAAAATTATAAAAGAACAAACATAAATGTGGTTTAATGATTTTAACTTCCGCCGCGCAGACCGCACCGTGTTAGGCGCAATGCGTGAAGTATTCCGACAGTCTTGTAGGTAGGTACTACGATTTTCACGCCGACCGCTGCTGAACGTACTGTGTTTGACGCAATGCGTGAAGTATTCATGCATTCTTGCAGGCACTATCCGTTTCACGCTGACCGCAGTGACCGCAATGTGTTTGATGCAATGCGTGAAGTATTCGTGCAGTCTTGTAGGCGCTAATATCTGTTAATTACTTGCCGATCGATCGCCGCGCCGAGATCTCATTTTCATCTCAAGTCCTCGTCATCATTTCTCTCCAAGTCGAGCCGTCCCAGGCCAAACTGCGTGTTTCGTTTCTCTCTTAACTCGACTAATTAAAGGTGCTGTCACTTGTGTCACTGAAAGACAACAAAATTAGAAATTACTATACTCTCAGGAGAGATTTTGTCGCCTTTCTTCGTTTGTAATTTTTTTTTTCCTATATCCGATTTTTTTTATATACCTACATTTAAAAAATTGCAAAATTTGCCGCCCCCTAGATTTGCCGCCATGGGCCGCGGCCCATGTGGCCACCCCCTTAATCCGGCCCTGGTTGTAGGAAACTGGTACCTTGGTTTTAACCCAGTTGTCTCTCTACAGTCCGTGTGAAGACAGAGGCTTGTGTACCTATGATGCAACTATTCAAGGCAAAGTTCAAATAACTTTTTACTTTTCGTGTAAACCCTCTGTACCTCGTTCAAAATTAGAAGAAGGAGAAGAAGTTTGTCAATTATTTATTCAAAATTGTGTACTGAACAATGTCCTTGATTCGTTTTTGCCATATTTTAATATTTTCCATCCAAAAATTCTAGTGGAAAACTCAAAAACGTCGAAAAAATCATTACCGTAGCCTGTAATAATCTGTAGGTCATTAATTTTATGTTAGGTTTTCAAAAGATTCAAGCCCAAAAAAAATAAAACCTTGGCAAATATTACAGCCAAGATGTATTTCAAAGAGTATTTTTNGCTAAACATACTTACACGTCATGACTGTTGCGTCAGTCGTAAATGAAGGGGCCTACATTCGATTTACAGTGAAGTATAATTTTTCATTTCCTTTTAGAGCAGGTACCTAACAAACAAGACTATTTGGCTCAGTAAGTTTAAGACTTCGGCCGGATTCTTTACCCCTTTAAATCTGAAAGTTTTTTGGGATTTATTTCTACCGATAACGGTAGAAATAATACTTATCATAAGAGTGAGATAGTAAAACCCTCCGTTCGACCTTAGAAAAATCTTGTACTGATTTTTGTTTAAGTATTATCATGCCGCCTAAAACGTATTTATGAACCTAATACATTGACCGATTATTTCACGGGGGAGGGCTGCATTTCATATTGAAATCTCGCCCTAGATTAGAACACGAATGGATGGATACTACATTGAAACAGTGATCATCCCCTATGTAGTGTAAAAATTGACCTGCGTTCTGGATTCAAAGAATATTCCTAGGCTATTCATTAAGAATATTCCAATAATATTTTAATCATATTTCTAGGAGTATTCTGCGAATATCTTTTTGGAATATCCTTTTTGTGAACATTCCTAGAATGTTCAAGTTGTAACATTCGAAGAATATTCTGTTTTCTCACGTGTGGAATATTCTGTGAAAATTCAGTTAAATATATTCTAAGAATATTTTCTGTAATTAGTCTACGAACGTTCTCCGAATATTCAACAATGTACATTCTGCACAGATTATTCAGAGAATGTTTTGGGAATATCCTACTTTAGAATATTCCGTTCAAAATATTCCGCGAATATTTAACATTCTGGGTCTGTTTGCAGGGTTTGCGTCGTACTATGCGGAAAATTCACTGAAATCTGCACAAAAATCCGCACAGCCGTTTTCATGTACCTAAATGCTATAGATATGGGTTTAAAAAATCATCATAATAAAATAATCAATCATCAAATAAAAAAAAAAAAATAAAAAAAATCGAGTGTCAACACAGCCGCAGCTAGGAGAGACTATCCGGGCCTCACTTTTTAATCTCTCTCTCGAATCCAAGCGATATCTCATTGGCAGCTTAGGCTTAGAGCGGAGCATCGCGAGTTCACGCCTCGCGCCAAAGCGCCTTCAATTCTTGCAGATGCAACACGGACATCCATCGAGCACGAATAGTTGTATCTTTACGCCGTCATCAACGTGCGTCATTTCCGTTGCTCTATTTCCATTTTGTGTTTGTACCACTTTGTCATATTTGCAATGGTACTTCGAGGGCTACGTGAGCACCACAGCCGAGAATAGGATAGACGTATTCGGGCCCGATTTTTTAAAAAAAGGCCGGGATAAGCCTTGAACAGAAAATGCCAATCTCCACCTTTCTGGCAGAAGGAGGTAACTTTATCTAACACAGGCATTCATGGATGCCGACTGAGAGGGTTACAGTGCTTAAATACGGACTATCCAGTAGGCCGATTATTGAAATTGATAGACAAAGCTATAGAAAAAGACGGTAAAAGATATATGGAGGGATCCTATTGGTAGAGGCAGGTGGTTGCAATGGACAAAGGAGGTAGGTAATAGACTACCGAAAGGCAACCCACGAAAAATCCTAAAGTTAGTCCATCATTTTCCCCCTTTCCCAGAAACAACCACTCGTTTCGACGAATAGGATCGCTTCATACCAGTGGCATGGCGTGCTTTGCGATATATCGATTGATCGGTCGTTTAAATCTATGGAAAAGTATCAATAAACAGGGTGTTCGCAGCGAACGCCTTAATAATCGATTCTTCACCATACCTTCAAATGGGGGAATATCGATAATTGATCGTTCACGCCACGCCATTGCTCCATACTCCCTACGTCGTTTTTGTCTATGGCTTTGTCTATCAATTTCGATAATCGACCCGCAGTACTAAATAAAATGCAAAATCAGTATGTCTGACATGACGTAAAGGCGTATCTCAATTTCCGCATGAGTCCTGTGGTCCGTAAAACTCTATGCTTTCCGGGGCTCATGTGGAGATGGAGTTACGCCCTGACGTCAGAGGAGCAATGACATGACATTCTTAACCAACAGGTAAATTGAATTTGCTTTAGACTTTCATTTTCCTAAATCAAAAAAATCAATCAACAATGTCAATAAAAATACAAATTTATTCCAACTCAATGCAAGTTTAAAAGACAAAGTTACTTCATCAATCAAACAATAGATTGTAGACTAGATTTTTAAAAGACTACAATGATCATGAAAACACTTTTGATCAATAACAAAAATGAAACTGATATGAGGCTAGTTCTTAGATGGAAAGTATTGGGGGGAAAGGCAAAAAGCTGAAGAGTAAAGGGGAGGAAACGATGTAGCCTTCATATGAAGGAATTGCTAGCATTGAATGAAAAAGGAAGGATATAAGTTGATTTAAAACATCTCCTTCGACTCAGAACAAAGCAACGTATTCAATGTTATTAAATAAACAAAAAAATCTAACAAGCATTATAACCCATTTACTGACTAAATTCGAATTATGTTGTGAGAAAAACACACCAGGATACTTTAAAAGCTAACGAATGTTCTTTTGGATATTGAGCTCTACTATGTATGCTCTGAAATCTCAATTGAAAACACTTATTAATATCGGACTCGAACGACTGCACACTGCATGGATTCAGTCTGAAAGTGCAGGAAGAATATTTCTGTTCTGTCACGGTTCAATTTTCCAAGTCATGATTAAATCCAAAATATTTACTCAGTATAGTAGGTAGCAATGAAAAGTTTACATTCTTTATGAGTCAAAAATAGGCCATTTTCTCTTTCTCCTTTTATTGGATGAAAATGGGATCGACGCCTGAATTTTTTTTATAGAGTGACCAAACGACCCCTAAAAATTACCATCAGTTATAAATCAAATTTGGCAGATTCTCGTCTATTGCAAAAACTGCTTGCATTCTGGGAGAAATCCTCTTTACCCAATTAAAAAAAGAGCTGATCCATTGACAAGAGGCGAATTTTCGAGAGTGGATTCGGGTGATCATGACTTAATGCCATCCTTCATTCCAAAAAACGGAATTCCCTCCAGGCAATGGTGCCCCTGAAAAATTTGGTTTCCATGTTGGCAACAATGACAACCACATCCGAAGATTTTGACCCACCTTCCAGGGTGGATGCAAACGTTAGCCAAAATTCATTAAGAAACTGGGCGCTTACTTCTTGACTGAAGCGATTCTTTTCTTTGGGTTGCGATCCTGCTGATCTGGTCGAAAAAGTTGACCAAATCCACTCGCGGAAATTTCCCTTAACAGGATGAAAAAAAAGAATAGTGCGTATAGTTTTCTGCAACTTTATCACTTGATGGAGACAAAACTAGTGCATTTTAGAATTTTTAGGGGATTATTGAAGGCTTCCTTTTTATTTCTCTTTTTTTAATCTTTAAATGCATTAATCAGACAAAAATTTAACATTCAAAACCTAATGCAATTCTTGTATGTATTTGGAGTTTTGTAAAAAAAGCTCCATTACAAAACTAATGGTTAGCTTGGAGTATTATAATTCCATAGTTTTGTTATTTTAAGTCTAAGGACATACTTCAGAAAATTGAAAGTTTCCTCTTTCTACCTCAATGATGATCAAAAGTGAACAAAATATTTTCATTCTAACCAGATTTTAACAATTTATTTTTACACCCATTTTTTATGCTACCAGTGTACCTAATGGGACTAACAGGGTTGGTAACCGTTTAATGATATCAGAACATTACTAAAAATAAAATGACACAAATTAAAACAATAAACAAAACAGCATACTTAAACAAATGAGATCTTATCCTAAAGGCAAATTTCCATTGATCTGAAAACCAAAGAGACCTGAGCAGCAATCCAGTTGCTTGATTTTTGTCATGATGTAAGACACTGAGATTCAAACCAACTGGAATGAGGGACGTCGAAACGGTTCTAATCGGAGCTTGAAACCAAATAATTTAAGAATAATGATATTAAATAGATGATTAAAAGTATTGATAGGGTTGTAACTCAACCCATTTTTTTTTAAACATAATAACAAAGGAGTGGAAAAAATGATGCAAGAGGAAACTATGTTGTGAGTACCTTGACTATACTGAAAATAGTGAGAGGAGAGAAACGGAACTGATACCAAATACTCCCTGTCATTCATGCAATACAGAATAATTTAAGAACAGAGGAAAGAAGTAAATTGCACCCATAAAACACAGAGTATCTCTTTAGGCAAGTTGTGAGTTCTTTAGCTATATTGACGTGCTGAGGGTGAGCACAGTATGTAAACTATGCTTTCAGAGAAAATCGACTTCAACCTTGGCTTGATTACAAGGCGTCTAATGGACCAGTCTTATGTTCGTCCTCACTTTTCGCATGTTTATATTTCAATTTTTGTTTTGATTTTGGCGTGATATTGTTCTGCTTAACACTCAAAATAAGATAAAAAATGTACGGTAAGAAGCTACTTTCCCCTTACATACTGTGCCCTTTCTTGGCAGGAGAGTATAAACCCTTTTTTTGTATCCGAGCTGCAGAGAATTGCAATGAATCGCTTTTTTTTTTTCATCCCGAGTCCACTGTTGCCGTCCGGCACGTTCCTCGAATTCACACTTAGATCACTTTTCCGAGGTGGGTTACATGCAATCCTGACCTCTGGCATAACCGCTTGGAATGCTCAGATAGCCAAGATAACCCGTTCCGTCACATTTCATGGATGATAAAAAAAAGCTCTCAAGAGACTTTAAAAATTCCCCAGTTCCGGCTCTCTTGCATCCATATTTTCATGCCATCTGTCTAATTTTTTTTGCAAAAACCGAAGCCCAAAATCATTACTGAAGCTAAAGACTAGCATAATTTGAAAATATTATACTCCTCAAGAAATCTTAATGAGAATGCCTAAATTTACATTAGAAGGATTCAGGAATATTTCAACAATTTCAAAACACTTGATTAGTACTTACATTAAAAAATATGAAAATGTATGCATTTCTGTATGATAAATTTGAAATAGGATAAAACTTTCATGTTTGAGGCCCTCTGAGAAAAAAGTACCTTTTTCAATTTGAAATGAATCGAAGTTTGTTCGACTCACTATTCCTTACAACTAAATGAGGTAAAAAATCCAAGCAAGCAGGAAATATCATATCTTTGGTAAGGTCTTTCACTTGTATCAATCGAGCCATATACAACTTAATTAATCAATTTTAACCTAAAATTAATTCTAAATTTAGTAAGGAGGGCCTTCCAGTATATTTTTGCTTCTTGTGTGCAAAGACAGTCTTGAAACTGCCTTCATTTAAGGAGTTCATCAGAGAACAGTTTAACACTTCGGTAAAAACTAATTCATCTGTATGGCATGGCACAAATGAGAAAAAACAGGAGAAGTTAATCAGCAAAAATTAATACAACATTTTAAAAAACATGGAACATGATAATCATCATAACAAATGAGTATTCATGTGGCACACCTTGAATTTTTCAGAGTGTTGTTTTGCCAACAGGCAATAATAAATACAAATTCAGTGTTGGGGACTTGCTAAGCGGCAGTAAAAAGTTTTAGGAAGAAAAAAGAATGAAAATAAAACCTGACAACTTCGAATGAAGCTGTTAGTGTTGACAAACTGCCTACTCAGAATCACATCAGTTTTACTCGTGGGAGGAAAAAATTTTCCTGTTATTTACTTTCCACTACACACACCTCTTTTTAGAGAGGGTTCACAATTATTAAGATTTTCAAACAATATAAATATCATTCATCAAACTGAAGTGGTACTACATTTTAAAGGTTTACAGCTGGAAAATTATAATGTTGAAGTCATAAAAGAGAGACACCCTGATCTAGGGGAGAGTCTACCTCTAAACTCGTTCTAACTTTCCGTGCAGAGATAGGACTCAGTACTTGTCAATGTTGCCAGATGAGCTGCAAACGAGATATTAAGTATTCATTCCGAAAATGATCAGTCTATATTTATGCCACTTTTCTGGGCAATATGTGCCTATTAATTAAAAACTAGTGATGCTTTTATAATTACGATCCTTCGATGAACATTTTATAATCACTCACAAAAATTGAGTCAGCAAAAGTTTGAGGTTAAATAATTGGTGGGTGAGGTCTAAAAATAGCTGTGAGTGGCACCCAGTAGTGACCCACTTAATGGTTTATCATTTGTGCTTTTGTAGGGAATACAGAATGGAGAACTGTTGTATTCTCTTCAGAACTGGTTGGGTACAATTGGTATCCATTTCGACAGATTCATTAGTTTCCCAGTAGAGGACTCGTAAAATTTATTCTTGATTGATTTTTTTTTTATCAATAGGAAAAATTTGCTTCAAATTTAAAGTGGAAAAGAGAAGAAAAAAAATGTATTTTCCTGTTTAGGATCTGTGATTAAATGCATTGACACAAACTTGTGCGCCTTAACAATGCTTCGTATAGTTTATATCAAACAAAGACATTTGTAAAAAAGAAAAACTGAAATGATAAAAAATATTCAAACGTATAAACTAGCCAAAAAAAAATTTTCTTGCAAATTTTTTTAGAGGTCAAGATGCCAGAATAAAGGAGCAAAAGGTACAGCACAAAACTAGTCCTAAATCACAAAATCCTAATTTAAAGACATACATTTTTTTTAAAAAAAAAATAAAAAAAAATAAATTATTTCCTTTGAAGCTTTAGAAATTTTTTGATAAAGAATAAACTTTTTCCGAAATTTAAACTTAAAGTGTAAAATTTACAAGATATCGGCAAGAGCCCCTACTTGGGATTTTAAATAGTGACACATTACTTCACAATGAAGTAGAATAGCCACCTAATGGTAAACACAGCAACATTATTGCCATGACAATCGTTGAGCAGTTTAATTAGGACTAGATGCAGTGTCGGTGGCATTGAAAACAGGAACGATATTCGTTTCTTCTACCAGATGCGTTATTCCATAAGGCCTTAAATGATAAATTAAATATTCTAATACATACATTTGGTTGGGTGAAACATAATGGAATGATATTGCAGTGTCAGAGCAGCAGTCCATTCCCTAGAGAAAAAATGAAAGAAAAAATAAGATTAGGGATCAAGTTTGTAAATTTTTAAAATTCTTACAAAGTTTGCAAAAGTTTCACGGTACAAAAGTATTTCTGATATAATAAGCTCATAAATGAAAAACTTTGAGACTTCGACATAAAAAATCAGATTTTCTCATAAAAGAAATTTGGATTGTTTATAGTTTTGGGTCATTTCACTTCACTCTATCGAGTTATTAAAATGAAAGGTTAAAATTACACTATCATAACAAGCATTTACTCAATTCAAATTGTGCACTGTGTTACTACACATTGTTTAATACAAGGGGGCAGAGAGTTCCGATCCTCTCCTCAAATTCAATTAACCTCTCCTCATTTTTAGCCAAAATGCATGCACAATGTATGCATAACAGGAGATGGTAGATCAAATGGAATTTAATGCAGGAGTGACACTGGCTGACTGAAGTTCAGCAAAATTAATTGACGTCAATGGAACAGGAACAGGAACAAAATTTGAAATTATGAAATGGCTATTTCTAAAAAACAGGCTTCACAAATAGCTATTACTTTTATGTTTATGCCTAGTTTAAAGAAATTATGCATGTTAAAATAATATTTTCATCTAACATTTATTACCTTTTGAGCTCCAATTCGGCTACATATTTTTTTATTTTTTTAAAAGTAACAGACCATTCAACATCAGAAATAAACGAATGATTGCTTGTATCCTAATGACTTAATTTTGCATTCTGGCAGTATCTCAAAAAAATTTCTGGCATGCATTGCAAATAGTAAGATAGCCTTCAAGAATGATGAGACGAAAGTATAATGGAAGATGATCTCACCTCTGACACTGGATAGTAAATATATGACCAGTACCAAAAACTAGGATCTGTATGTCCAGGAATTAGATGATGTTCTGGAACAAACGGAAAGAATCTGCCACGTCCCAGGCTATCTCGGCTATCAACTGCTTTTACTCCTAAATTTTCTAGACATATACCTGTAAGGCAAATAGATAATAGACGTAAAGTATGAAATATCAAAGCTAAATCATACCTGTCACTGAAAATGATGATATGAAGTATCTCAGTTCCTTTCCACTGTTTTTTTTTTTTTTTTTTTTTTTTTTTTTTTTTTTTTTTTTTTAAAAAAAGTAAATTAACTTACAATACAACCATAAGTTTCTACCAAAAAATCCTCTGCAAAGTGCAAACACTGTGAAAACGATAAGAACCAAATTAGTGACTAGAATTGTTGCTCCAAAGGCTCATTACAACTTTTTTAGCTTATTCGTTGACCTTTGAACCATTTCCTCTATTCCCATTAACACTTTAAAATCATCCAACACTTGAATCCACAAGTCACACTTGATATCCATCTCAGTTTTTTTATTCATCAACTGAAGACTATGAAAAAATCTTGATTCCACCACTGTATTCATTTTGACTTCTTTCATGGAAACTTAAATGACTTAAAAGTTAGAATCCGCCCTTGAATAAATATTGCAGGTATTCATCTTACAAATTGATAATTCTTTCTACACAAAAGTATTGGATAAAAGCAAAATACAATCACCTATTTCGACATCCTCTGCTCCGCCATCATCTTGGCGGCATAATTTGGATGGAGAGAGAATTCCTTCTTTTACAAATTTTTCGACTGCAACTTTACTCAAAACATAACCTATCAACAAAATAAAAAGAATGATATGAATGACATCACAATGAGAAAATCTCGTGCTACACTGTGTTTTAAACGAAATTTTGAGGAGAAAACATACACCATAATTCTTAAATATGGACTTTGTCTAGTGGTCCATTTTGACTGTCAACACTTAACAGCCACATCAATATTCCATTTTGATGGCCTCATTTAAATTGTGGGAACCAAGCCAGATTGGATAAAAAATAAATTAAGAGATTTTTCAAAATTATCGATTATATCATCATCTATGAGGTGTTAGGATTAGTAGAGCAACATTAATGATAAGGACAGGTATACATCAATAATTGTGTTTTAAAAACATAGGATAAAAAAAAAATGTTCCCATCTCAGTAAACAACAAAATTCAATTATTTTTTGTGAGATTTCGACGAGATTGAAAGGAAACAAAAAAATTACCTGCACCACCACTCATATAGCCCTGTTTCACAAATGGCTTAAAACGGCATCCTAAGTAGAGAGGCTCATTTGCATTATATGCTGTCAGCAGATATCTTAAATTCTCCAGTATTACATACCTAGAAACATAAAAAATTATGAATCAGAACCCGCTGCAATATTTGTTTAAAAATGCTAGGGATTGGACCTGAGTAATCAAAAGATAAACTTGTTTCACACACATGAGGAAAGTTCTCGAAATTTGGCAATAGGTCATTTGGGTGGCTTTAGCTGGAATGTCCTTCAGAAGAGCATTAAACAAAAATAAGAGGAGTATAACACCAGGGAAGAGGAGACAAGTTTATTGTAGCTTTTAATTGATTCTCCTCTCCATTCAGTTAAATGCTGTGACAATCATTAAAATATACTTCTGGGTTTTTTGTAGGAGTTTTAAAATTTAAAGGCAACAATTTGTCAATTGAATCAATAATTATTTTTCACGAAAAATAAAAATATATTAATAATGAAAAAAAAAATAGAAATGAGGGACAAGTAAAGACAAAACTCACGTGTCGTCGTCTGCTTTGATCACCCAGTCATACTGATCCTTATAATGTTGAAAAATGTACTTAAAGGCCCCCTTCGTCTTACCCCAAAGTTTATTTCTTCCCTCTCCAACATCTATCTTGACTGTTGGTAATGAATCATCTGTATAATAATAAAAAGAAATTGCATAAGAATTACGAGCATTATTGTTGACATACAAGGGGGTGCAAAAACTTCTTTATCATGCAACCCGCAGTTTACGAGCAAAATTAGAAATGCAAACCAGCAATTCCAAAAATGCCTGGGCCAGATGGCACTGGCATAAAAGTCACACAAATTTGAGGGATTATAAATGAGGAGCAAAGAAAAGTATGGCTAAAAAATAAAAAAATTGAAATTTTCAGACAGGAGAGACATACTAAAAGAGAGGATAAGCAAAGAGCCTTCTGTATCCCTGACATATCGTCACCTTCCAGCCAAAGTATCACACGCGCTATACGACGTTTAAAAAGTTCCCAGCTATTCTATTTTTTAAGAGAGAAATTGTTGGTTGAATCTGTTTAAAAATTGCACTGAATTTTATTGGCAGCACAAAGAAAATTCAGTGAGATTTTCGGACAGCTTCGTTGAACAATTTCTCTGTAAAAAATAAAACAGTGGTGGAAATTTTTAAACGTTACATGGCACTTGTGATACTTCCGCCGAAAGGTGACGATATGAGGAATAGAGGATTTTCAGAGGAGGAAAGCACAACACATACAAGTAAACTGAAATATTAAGTGTTATGCCACAATGAAAAAGAAAATTCTCAATGATTTACACAAAGAATTGAGAACAACATTAACAAACTTACTTGAAAATCACAACATTTCCAGATGGAATTAAAAAATTAAATATTCCAATAAATTTAAAATTGATATCAATAGAGAGAAATTTATAGGAACACGAAAAAGGTTGAAGAAAAAATGCTTTAAAATAATAAGACAGAAAATTTAGATTGAAAATATCTGTCTCAGACCTTAAATAGAACTATTCAGTTTCTGTGACTCAAAAGTATCGTGAGGAACAGCAAAAGCTTCATTCTTTTAATAACGACTACAAAGTATGTTGTGTACAAAAAACCCTCTGCTTGAAAGTAAAAAATTATTGGATCATCTATTCATGGGAACAATTTGAGTTAGGGGACTGTTTAAATATTACGCAACCCTCTCCCACATAAGGCACACCCTTTTTGAATTACAAAGATGCTCTGACCTCCTTCCCCTCAGATTTTCATGAAAAAAACACAGAGTCCAACAAATTCTTTTCATTGGAATTTTTTTTCTTGAAAAATACATTCACACACTTGCACATATTACCCACCCACACTTACACATAACCACATTTTTAAAAAAAATAATGAATATACCTTTTTCGGAGCTGATGAACAACAGGGTATTACAGCGTCTTCCCCAAGTAGCCTTGACATGCTGAGCTTTGACTTTATGATTCTTCGGATTGGTCAGCACCCAGCATAACACTCTAACTCTACCTTTCAGTTCATCTGCCACTTCACTTTCACCTGAAATCATTATAATCACATTCAATAAAGAAGAATTATACGCAGGATTTTTACTGGCATTATCTATTTTATTTAAATCACAATGCTAAAAATATTTTGTAAAGATTCTATTGAAGGAAATAATTTCGCCTAAGTAAGTCCAGAGAAGATTTTGAAATTACATTAGAAAAATGTAAAATTCTTTCTAAAAGCTGGGAGTCTTGGGGTTACAACCAAAAAATTTTCTGGTTTTTTTTTTTTTTCGTTTTCTAAGAGGAACTTACTAATGGATGGGCAGAAAGACAAAAATTGGCCACTTTACCTTTGTGAAATGCTTCATCGTGACCATGACCTCCAACTTCTCCCAGGGGCGCTTCTACCTCTCGTTCATCGTCATGGAAATGTTGATCTGGCGGGACATGACTGTCTGATTCTCTACTAAGATACCTATAATATAGCAGAAACATATAATGCAACAATGTTAGTGCTGGAACCCTGCACAAATGCAGTTCAATTACATATTCATCGAATCTTGAAGAAAATATACTCCTAAAAAATCAAGGCACGCTAAAGGGCGCACCAACGCAGTCTCACCTATCAATGGAGCAAAAAAAGAAATAAAAATTATTATGCTGGGGGGGGGGGGGGTGNNNGGCCAATGTGCCCCCCCCCCCCTCCACCCACCGACGCACACACAAATGATACAATATTGTGAGTTTAAATACCCAATATCAAATTATTATCAACTGAAGTGAGGGTATAGTATTTAGTAAGAGTCAGTCCACTTACTATAAGTCGGGTTCCCTGATACAAGTACTCTATGACGTAACGAATTACTGAGAACTGGGTCCTCACTACAATCCACTCATTTTCCTGCCGGAGCATTTCATGCTTCGGTTTCATTAGAGCCATACTTTTAACGGCTGGTTCGGTGATGTATGTAGTCAAAAAGAATTAAAGTTTAAAATTGAAAAAACACTAGTTCTGCTGAACATCATATTTTATTCATCAAATTTACAGGGGTTTAATTTTTCGGATCCAAGTGCCTGCCCCCATAAGGTGAGGTGCAAAATCTGCTCCCGAGGGAAATTTTTGTGCGAAACGACGACGAAAAAAAATTTCGCAAACAATACCGAAGATTCAACGATCTTTTCGACTTTCCGAGCAATTTTTAAAAGTGAAAAGAATTTGGGAAAATGAGGAAATTTTCCGGGGGAGTGAGGGGAAAATCCCGGATCGTGTGAAATGTCAGGCCATATGGCTCTTTTTGCACCCCTGCACAAATATTGGATTACGTGAGTGATCTTACCTTGGCGGGAGTAAGGGCACCTCTCGTATCGTAGCGTAGGTCAGAGATAAGAGCATGTAGGCACACATAAAGCCAAAAAGACATCCTATACAAAAAGTTACTATGAAAGTCCGCCCGCCAGAGAATTGTTTTATCATACCTGAAAAACGACAAAACATTAGCTGAGGGACTTCGCAGAAATTGTGGACACAGGTAGGAATAGCTGTCGGGCTTTCACGGGATTTCGCCGAGTAAATGCATCAGATACTCTGGTAAATCCTGCCACGTTTGTAAAGCATGATTTTATGAAACAGTATGAGCTCAATCGGATTTCAGTAAAATTCTAGAGACCTGTGTAGGAGGAAGCAAAATTCGGGAGAAAAAGTGAGCATTTGCTCGATGGAGGGGGACTTGGAAATTCTTTTAGAAGCACTGTTAAATTAACCGATTCTACTCAACAAATACCACGTTGGGAATAACTACATTCTGACTGATGCGTTTGCGGTGATTTGGGCCGATTTTTTCCACACATGAATTATTTTTTTCGCATTAAGTTTCTCTCTTTTATGAGAAGGATGATCACTGGAGCTCTATCCATGAGAAAAGTAGCAGATTAAATGATTATGCTTTAATTATGGTTAGTAGAGAAACTTGTAACAATGTACCACTAGACGAGGTAAGAATTTTAAGCACAGCAGGACGTGATATTTTATCAAAATTTCATTCCGAACACTTTGAACACACTAAAATATCGGTGGTTAACACATGGAGAGATTCGCCTTTATTGTTCACACCAGAATTAGAGAATTGGACTACATTTTGCAATTAAGAGCTACAATTTACGGCACATCCGTGAAAACACGTATGTGCACGCGGAAACTATTGGTTCATACATTGTCTCCAAACCGAGCCAAAATTCGTAGTTCCCAATTGCAAAATGTAGTCAAATTCAAGCTTCCCGCTCGCAGAGAAAACACAAAATCCAAGTCATGGGAACGAACTTTATCGTAAAATTCAGCACGTAATCAGAAAAAGATCCTGCAAAAAGACAAGAATATTTCAGAAACTTACTGAACTGTGTTGAAAGTCCACTTTAATTCCAGGAGACTTCGGTTTCCTCTCCGAATGAGAAATTAAAATCGACAAGGTGGAAAACGCTAATTACTTAATCATAAGTCTGATTGTTCGTTCTAGGATTCTCTCCTTTTTCAGGATAAGCCCAGGCCTAAGTTGTAAAGTATTTAAAATATCGGCACTATAATGTCGGAGTAGGTACATTGAAAATCCCAACGCGATTCCTCCTTCAGGTATTTGCGATCGGCGACGAATGGCTTTGACAACAGTTTCAACTTCGTCGTAATTCTCGAGATGCCACAGACTACAGGCAGCTCGTTCCCTGGTCGGGTCGTCGGTGTTGATTGCACCTCCAAGTGCGGGCCATAAAACGGCTTTGAATCAACAAAGCCGTGAAATCATAGTGATTTTCCTTTTTCCATTCCTAGACGGAAGAACTCAACTAGCTCTCAACGTTACGACACTGCCACTCACAAATTCTGTCTGTTCTTGGAGACCGTTTGGCATTTCTACAGTGTGACGAGTATTATGGATTTCAAAATTCCCTGAATTTACAAGGAACGTAAAATTCCCTAATTTTACTCTGACTTGTTGATGCTTGTAGTGGCATGATTTCTCAAAAAAATTCTCTTCATGAAACATTGTAAGCGCCAAGTTTCTTCGGCCGTGCTAAGGAAAATTGATTGCGTCAATTTTTCAACGTTGGAATTTACGTTACTTCGTCTAAGAGACGTCGATTTATATGAGAGCACTCTCAAATGAGTGACTCAAAATTTTATTGACATTTAGGGTATCTATGGCTGGCTGTGGTGGAACACGGAGTTAGCGGCTAAATCAGTAAAGAGGTAATGGACAAGAGGTTACTGAGTGTCAGGATGTCTAGTTTTTTTTTTTTTTTTTTTTTTTTTTTTTTTTTTTTTTTTTTTCATTTTGTGAAATCCTGATGTTTGACTGCTAAATCTTGATTTCATAATTTTTCCAAGTCCTGATTTTTTGCGGAGAAAAATTAAAATTTCTGCATAAGCGTATCCAAAAGCAGAACTCCATAATTAAGTTCTGAGAATTAAAAACAAGTAGGAATCGAGACAATCCGATCGGACGGCCGACTTTTCAGAAATCCTGATTTTACAACCGATTTTTCCTAAAATCCTAATTTTACAACCGATTTTTCCTCAAATCCTGATAGAATCAGGAAAATCCTGATGCTAAACACTCTGGTCATATATATACGATTTCTCTACATATGCAAATAATACATTATGCATGGTTGGCTGCGGAGGGTACGCAGAACTTAAGACGATGTTCTGAAATTGCGTTCGGGCAACTGATAAAAGAGCCATTAGCGGATCCAGCAAATTGGCAACATTGTTTTCCACCATTTAAACCCAAGAAGATGTATCGATTCTTGGAGGGGCGAGGTGCTCCGACAAGAATCGATTATTTAACATAGAGTCCCTTTATACCCAGAGTTACGACAACTCGATTATCAGCTGACTGGCAGCCGTCCTTGGCTGGCCATGGAAGCCGAAACGAGTGCACCCAAACGAACGATATTGAGGGATAAGGATCAGGAATCCTGCGATGTCTGTCACACAAAAACAACAACATCAACAAAGTGATCAATTAAAAAGAAAATGAGATTGGTTTGTGAATAATTTCTTAATCTATTTTCATTTTGGACCTATGGAAATAACAATTTACTCTTGATAAACCACAATTAGGTGATATTTTCATTATTCTTGTTCACATTCGAGGTACCGCCATCTTGGTGCACTCGTTTCGGCCTCCATGAGCGAGAACCAATCAGAATTGGATTTTTTTTAGGCCACTTTCAGCCCAATCCTGGCCCAACCAAAAGTGAGTTGTCGTAACTCTGGGTATAAAGGGACTCTAATTTAACATAGGTTTAAATGGAGGAATTCGGTGTTGCTAAATTGCTCGATCCGCCTTTGAAAAAAATTTAAAAAATAAAAAGATGATACACTTACTCATTCTTTGTAGCATGGCGGATCACTGATTTTCCAATGCTTCCTACAAAAAGAGAGAAGGAAAATCAGAAGAAATGCGAGTGAATGAGTTAATAGTGTGTAGTGTCATTAATGCAAATTTTACGTCATAAGCAGCAACAGCCGCAGAACAAAAAGTGAGCTGTTGAACTACGTATCAAACATGTCAGTCGGCTGCGCTGAGAAAGAACGACATATTAGCCTTCAGACGTTTCCGAATTTCTTTTGATAAAGTAAGAATTTTCAGTGAAATCTGAATACTCCTCTCCGAGTTTTTCAGAGACTTTCATTTGTGGTCAGATCTAAATTATCTGAAAATTTCAAAATAACATATGCATACTCTCCTCAAAAATAAAACTTTTATCAGAGGAATTTTACCAAATCTCGAATGTTCATACGGCGTTTTTCCTTAACACGGTAAAATGGAGAGGAT